ATGTGACAGTTTAATCAAATCCATTTGTTACCAGGCAGCTAAAAGGGGCCGCTGGGATTTTAGGATTATGGGCAGAGTTAGAGAAGCAAGTGGCTTTGTCATTCGCCATCATTTTGCACACTGCCACACCGCGAGGGGCTCCGTGTGTGTGCGCCGTGTCTGGTCTGGCCGCCCTCATCCCTTCCCCCACCCCCTGCCGCCGCTCAGACCTGCTCCCAAAGTGGCTTCACAATAGTCGGTCCTTCGGCGGTGTAGGCTGCGCACCAGGTCCACACTTGAGCCAAATCGAGGAGACCCCCTTCCACTTCTACCTTTGGGCTGGGTGCTCAATGCGAAGCTGCTGCAACTCCAGCACGCCTAAGTCAACTCATGCAGAAAAAGGAGAAAAGTTTTGGTAAGGTTACAATCTATCATAGATGCACTTTGCCGGCGCTCTGCACTCTTGGCTGCTCAAAAGCCTTTCTGCCCTTCCTCTGCTTTTGTGTCTTTCTAAAAGATCCGAAATATTATTGTTGTAACTGCTTTGAAAGACTGCTGCTTAAACCAATTAATCTTGCTAGGTGCAACAAATACTGCTACATTCTTTGCAAACCGTCCCTGTGTGGCTGCAGAGACACAATCACAAAAGGCTGGAGCATAAACTCCGCAAGGGATTCTTTGTTAGAGTGTATGTATGTTTCTTATTTTTTTTTTTTTTATTTTGCATGTGAGCTGCATCAAAATTGAACTCAGTCTTGCAAATCTCTTGTTGGCCTTTGCCAAGCACTAGCACTTTGCTGCCATGGTAACTGTAATTAAACTGATAAGAGTGGAAAAATGTCAGTATCTCTGAGCCTTGCAGCTGCATTGGAGAAAAAGGGAATCAAATTGGTTCCCAGCTCCATTGCTCAAAAAGGGAAGGGGGGTGTGGAGGGCAAGGGAGGGGGGTGGGAGTTGAAGGGGCAGAACAGAGTTAAGCAGCTCCAGTGCCTGAGATCTGGGGACATCTATTTGCATTGTTGTCCCTTAGGGGGCTGCAGCCTGTAGGGATGCTCTGGGCCAGTGAACAGAGAGAAACAAGCTTTTAGGCCCAATCCAGTTTTCCAATCCAGGTTGGGGGCTGGGGAGAGGATGAAGATGGGCAGAAGGAGAGAAAATCTTTTGTTTGGTACCTCTTGGCAATCGAATGGCCGTGTTGGCCAAATTCTTTTAATCTGTGTCACTGCTCCCAGCTGCAGAACCTGCATTCCCATTTTAGCATCTTTCTGAGGCACCTCTTCTCTTCCAACCCCCTTTATGTATTCCCTCTTCCTGTTCCCTCTCCCAAATTGTCCTCTGTGAATTTTCCGACAGGGACAAAATGTTTTCCATTCACTCTGTGTAGTTAGTCCAAAAATATAAAAGACTGTGTCTAAGTGCTGCAAATCTTTTATTATTATTATTATTATTTTAAACCCCTGTGTGTTGTGGAGTTGTGGTTACTTTGTTGTGTTAACTACTGAAGCTGAGACTGTGCGGATGAATGGCACAGAACAAGGGAACATAATGGAGGCAATCAACCGTTAGGCCGCCTCACAATGCAATCCAGGCAATTAAAAGCTCACCAGAGTTTAAATGAAATGGTTCTACTTATTTCTGCACACCACACTGCACAGGCTATTATTTATGTCTTTTTTTTAATTATGATTTCCCTTAAACTGTCAAATAACTCAGAATGGCAGGGTCTCAGAGGCAATAAGAATTTCCCTCAGAACAATTTACATGCCAATCTAAAACTAGTTATGAGTTCTGATGTGCTCTGAGCAACTTGTGAAATGTTTCTCAGCTCCGAACACATAACTCTACCTAGACGTGTTCTTCTGGAGGAAGAAGGGAGGCCGCTGACTGCTTTATGCCTTTTGGGTACATGGCAATGTGGTGACTATAATATAGCTCTTTTTCTACAATTGCTAACTTGCATAGAATTTAAAAGATTCCATTTTCAAGAGAAAATGCCACGATGTTCTCTAAAAGAAGGTACCGGGATGGTGTGTATAAGATCAAACTCCTTTTATGCCCAAGGCCAAACAGAATGTAAGAGTTTCAAATATTAATTGGCCTCTGAGTGCTAAATTAAAATGTCAACACAACAAAAACATTTTGTGCAGACAAGCAGGATAGTGTTTCTTGTGCCAAGTGTTGGTATCCCCTATCTTGGTTGCAAAGCATTTTGAATAAAGATAGTGACCTTCTGCACTTGGTGACAGAAACACAACTATGAGAAGTATAGCTTAGCTACTATTAAGAAGGATTTCAAAAAAAAAATTTCACCTTTGAGCTTTGTGGCTTAAGAAAATAATAATGTTACAGACTAGAGAGCTAGAATAGCTACACTTAACATATCTCTGGGTGTTTTCAATAATGAAATCCAGAATTTCATTTAGTAAATCCAAATTTCCCCCTCCCCCCAGGTATATGGTTAAGAGGCACTTGGGTCTGTTCTGCACTGTAATTAATGGGATTCATTCCTTGTGGAACCCTGCTAGAAGAGGATAACTAGTTCTGATCAAAGAAACTTCATTTGTTAGAAGTTCTAGAGAGTGAGATTTAGCAGCGCTATCAAGGGTTATGATTAATCTACACTAGGCCCTTAGCTCCTTCAAAGGAAGGGAACAGAAAGCAGGCTATATAGGGATACCACCTGCTCTTCTGTACAAATCCAGCTGCTAGTCTGCTGCTCCGGTGGCTACGGCTATGCAGAGGACGCAGAGAGAGCAGCTACCCTGCTTTTTTTCCCTGCCATTCCCTACTCTACTGCTCTACCAGGCAAGTTATTTTCTAAGGAAAGTTCAAAATCATAACAATGTTATCTGCAATTCATGTATTATCTGTCACTAGAAAAGTTGTTCAGCTATGGGGATGCCTTGATGTCCCTTATCAGTGTGATTTTTTTTTAAAAAAAAAAAAGGTGGTGAAGTTTATGATGGAGGTGAAGCCTTCATCGTAAGGTATCAGAGGAAACTGCAGAGGGTTTAGCTATTTTGGAGAAGGGGAATGCACAGAAAAATGCAGATTATAGCTTGGAATACATTCTTTTCTTGAAACTCTTTCAAATGCACGCGCATTTGGTGTTTTGTGCCCTTCTACATCCCAGTTTAAAACTTTGTGCCTAGGATAGGAAGCATAGCATAGCACAAGGATCACTGAACTGTAAGAAGGTCCACAGCTCAATTGTCATTCAGCTTTGAGCGAGTCCCTTAACCTCTCTTGGGCCTCTGTAACATAATTTGTAAAATGAGGGAATTTGGAATTGATGATGTCTGCAGTATTTTATAGTGCTTAAAATGAGTTATTTGAGAAATATGAGGCTTTGAATAGTTGGTCCAGGTTCTTTTTGAGGCTGGGCATTTAATACCTAGGAAATAAGAAGAAACTCAAAGGTGTATATTCATTCATTGGAAAGATTTCAATCAAGTTGTAAAACCCATGGAACACAACTAGATTCCTTATTTGTGATGGTGATAATCTGCAAAATATATAAATGCCCATATGTCTCATATGGTATGTATAACATATGTAAATAATATATTTATATGTGTTTGTATAATTTTATATATTAATATGTTTGGATGTTGCCTTCTATTGTTTCTTCTTTCCCCTATAAAATAAATAAGTGAATGTTTATGGTGATAAATTATATAATCCTATGCATTAGTTTTAGATAAAAGCATGCAGTACATAGTTAAGTAATCTGTCATTAATATGGGCACTGACTGACTGATGCTCGTGAGTATAAATCTTTTTTATTTTAACATAATAAATATTTTGAAATATCAGGGACACGGAAGGAGGTATTTGGATGCAAACAAGAAAATAGGGCAGATGGGCTTTGGGGGAGGCTATAATGTGTACTTAACTATAAACATTCTACTGCTGAGTAAGGTTAGTGTAATACCATACTGTGAAGTCTCTTTCTACCATCAAGTACATATTAAGTGAAATTTTTAACTACTTAAGCAAAACTCATTTTTGACTTCTGTAGACTGTGCATGGATTAGTTTGTTAAATAGCTTTCTTTTCAGACCGTTAGCCATTCACTCACATAAAGGAACTACTCTATGTGGCAAATGAGGACGCTATGAAATGATTCAATATTACTTAACTTCATATATGTAATGTCAACTTGCCACGTACAACATGAACTCATTATTATTCCCACTTTATAGGTATATTTTTATAAATGATTTAATTAGGACTTTATAAAGTTTGAGACTTTCTGGTCCCCAAATTTAGTTCAAGTACAGCCCCGAAAAAGAAAATCTGACACTTGTAGAAGAAGGCACTATTAAATATTTAACTTGTCTGAGGTCTTTTGACATCGTTTTATTCTGTCTGGTATAGTCTCAGCTCTCTTTTTTTTTTTTTTTTTTTTTGTCTTCCTTTAGGTATACAAATGCTCTCAGTCCAGCCAGACACCAAGCCGAAAGGTTGTGCTGGCTGCAACCGAAAGATCAAGGACCGGTATCTTCTAAAGGCACTGGACAAATACTGGCATGAAGACTGCCTGAAGTGTGCGTGCTGTGACTGTCGCTTGGGAGAGGTGGGCTCCACCCTGTACACTAAAGCTAATCTTATCCTTTGTCGCAGAGACTATCTGAGGTAGGAATTACCCTTGCACGCCAGTGATGACTGGATGCCTTTTAAAGTACTTTTGTAAGTGTATTTTTTGTTTGTTTGTTTTATTTCCTTTCTACCAGCTTATATTCCTGAAAGATGTTGACCTGTCAGCCTTCAAAATGTTGGCTAGTGTGTGTGCTACCTAAATCACTTAAAGAACAGCTAACAAACCATAGTGTCTAAAATGTTTCGACTTGGCTAGCCTGCTGTACTCATCTTTAGGAATCAGTTATTCCACGGCTTTTGCGGAAGCAGCCAGTTAGTGTCAAAGATGTGTTTGGTAGCCATCAGCGTGCAAGTTTCTCCTTAGAACCTAAGAAGAAAGGTAGGCTGAGCATCACACAAAGGAATGGATTAGTTGTTTGGTGAAACACCTTAACTCTTTATTTTTTTTAAAGTCTCACTTGAACAACATACTATGTAAAATAGCCTAACTATTGCCTCTTAGTTGGACTTGAATTTATGCTTCTAAAGTCATTCAGCTTTCTGTTTCAGGTTTGTCAGAGGAGGTCAGGTGCAAATTCTTAACTGGTAATTACTAGTGTATTTATTATACAGTTTTGAAAACTTTCCCCAAGAGTAGATATATCATCCCCCCCCCACCCATGACTTTCTAAATGGTCGTCACAAAGATATCACTGGGCGTTGAACAGCCTCAGACTTGCCAGTAGTTTTATGAATAATAACAAAGACCCCAATCATTATGGGGAAATGATAGCCACACTCCAAACTGTACACTTCTGAACAGTTGCAGGACAATGCAGGTTCTGAAGCCATGAAGCCAACTAAATTTGTTCCCCAGCATTAAGGACTCAACACGAAACTTCTGTTGAAGAAAAATTATTTTGCTTTTCAGGCAACTTTGTGACTTGCTTCAGCTGCAAATTACTTATATTAATAAAGTAGGATCTATCAAATTAGGGAAATGATATATGGCATCATTTGGGTTTTCATATTTAATACAATTAATCATTTTTCTAGGCTGACATTAAGCGATTTATTTTGAATTTTTTCCCTTATGACACAAAATTTATCAATCAGCAGTAACTCCTTAACCATCTTGGTCATTGGGGGAGGTGTTATCTAAAGAATTTGGTCCTTCGTAGTATATAATTCAGTTATTTTCAGTCAGATTCAATCTTTATATATAAAAATGTATTGCTTGATTAATAGTAGTTACAAGAGGGTGAAACTAGTATTGTTTATCAGATTCGACTCTTTCTCGCTCTTAGCACTGTCTCATCTGACAGCCTCCTGACTAATTATGGCCACTTGTTACTGTTTCTCTGTCTTCCAAGTGCACAAAATGCATGCAAGGTGCCAACCCGTGAGGAGTAACTCTCCCCAGCCAGAATTTTCCTCATTGTGTTGGCACAACTAATCAGAATTAACGCATAATGTGATTTCTTTTTAGAACTCTCCAGCCTTGAACTTTTCTCTTTGAAATAAAAATTTCTCCTCTGCTCATTGTGAACGAGAGCCTCATTTCCACATAAAGCATTTGCATTTGCTTTCTGTGATTTCACATTGCATTCTAGTTTTGCTTTATCTATGCTAACCAATAGTCACAGCTTTTTGACTCCTTTTGACTTTTACATTTGTTTACAATTTCAGTATCTCAAGTGGATTCATGTTACAATTCCCAACAAGGAGTTTATGTGGCCCAGGTGTTTTCATAAACAAAAAAGACAAAACTAAGTAAACTTTAAAGAAAGTTTCTTGAAATTTCTGAATTTTTTAAAATCAAAGATATAAATTCGCCAGTGAAATAAATACCTGTATTGTGGGTGAAACTGCTTTGCAGTTGTCAACATAGCAGCGAGCAGAGCAAGTAAGCTTAAATGTGTTTTATTTTTCCTTACGGTAGGAAAAAATACAATGTTAAACTGGTACTTAGTCTCAAGTAAGTGTTTTGTTGAAGAGAATTTATCAAAATAGTTTTCATATCAGAAATCTTTATATCTCTAAAAGAGTGTATGTGGCTTTTTGTGGAATAACTTTTAGTTCATTTCTGTTAGGCTCAAACATTTAATGCTAGTGAACTTGTTAAAAATATTTTGTACTCTTTCAAATATAAACCCTTGTCCTGATTGCCAATATATTCATTTCTTAGAGTACAATTTCCTCTTAAATTGGTCATTACCACATTAATGGCCAGTTGTTATGTTAACAGCCTAAGGGTTGTTAACATTTCAAACTAAGTTGTTAACAGCAAGCTTATCCCTTATTTAAACTGAACGTTTGTTGTATGTAACAGTGACTTCTTTGGCAACTTCATCAACACTTAAAATTGCAGCAGTGAAATAGAGAATTGGTATGTGTGTGAAACACTGGGTTTTGTGTTATAGATTATGCTGCAGATATGATATTTAGTTTTATGTAGAAAGCATGTGTCTCAGTGAAATTGTGTAGCTGTTCGACAGCATTATGTCTCTTATTGGCAGATTAAAATAGCCTGATTCTGTATGTTAAATCAAACAATACAGTCAAGCAGATTTTATTTATAATTTTTTCGATTATGGATAAATAGTCAATCTGGAATGTTTATTAAATGCTTACTGTGTGACAGGTATAATTTTAGGAGATGGATGAAATTAACTGAGGGGAAAAAAAAAGAGGTACATCTAAAGTTGTTACTAATTGTTTACCTAATTATATAAAATCTGTAACATGATTAGTGAACAAGTAGTAGTCTATGGCTATTTTCCTGAGCTTTGAAAATAATTTTTCTCATTTTCCTCCTAGTTCATTTCATCATATATCCCTTTTGTATTTTGCACAGCCAATGTTTAACTGTTTAATTTTGGCCTTTGGATATTATGTAATTTCTCTGAGGCACCCAACAGGCCATAAATAACTTACATATTTGTATTTCTCTGTTTAAGTCACTAGTCACCTAATTAGGAATATGGAAAATGATAAAGAAAAAAGTAGTTTACTTGTACTAGTAAACTATTGTATACAAGTATTATCCTCAGACAGATAATTTTTCATATCTAGAGAAAAGTAAAACATTTTTACCAATTGTAGTTAACTTCCTATTAAACTTCTCCCTCCAAAAAAGAAAGAAAGAAAAAAAGAAACATTTCTAATTATGAGCAATGAGACTTGAAGGTCTGTGTTTTATTTGTGTTACTTTGAGAAGTAATAATGACATATTTTTACAAGTTCTTTGAATGATGATTTGAGATATTAAATATGAAAATGTAAGAATTTAGATCGTAAGATATCTCTTAAGGGTTATAGAAGCTAAATTGCAGAAAATTTTATTTTCTTTCAGTTTTCTTTTCTCTTTTGTGGCACATTTACCTATGTTTAAGAAAAAGAAAAGAAAATATTCTTTAGTTTGTGCATTGAGTTTCAAATCTTAACAGCAGAATTGTTCACTTTCCATAACTGGACTGGTATAATCTTTCATTTTGCTGCCATATGATACACATATCTGACGAGACAGAATTTACCCATTTGTAGGATTATTTGCCTCTTTCGGAAACTCGTTAAATAAAGGAAGAGAAAGATTGACTTTTTAAAACCTTCTCTAACACACTTTCTGCCTGCAACTATGAAGTCAATCTGCCAGTCAATATTTACATGCCAAGACCCAGAAATATATCTGTTAAAAATATATTCAAAGCATTTTAATAGTTTTTATTTTTTTAAAGGTGAGCTTATGCCAATTTAGACATGGAAACATCTTTGTACCTTAAATTAGAGCTCAAGATGATATTGTCTAATGTAGTTTAAAAATTACTGCAAAAATTATAGCAAAGTTTTAATAATGATGTTTAAGAGCCTCTCAGCAGTGCTATCTATCAGCCTTATTTCAGTTTGGAAAATATGAATAAAGTAGTCAACGTATAACCAGAGTTTTAGAATTAGGACTTTGTGGCAAGCATTAAATAGAACAAGGAGAAATATCAAAATACTTTACTTTTCGACTTGAAGGCAATAAAGAATATCAGCACTTACCACTCAAATTTTGAGGCATTTTTTGCTTGTTTTTTGTTTGGGCCTGCAACTGCTTGTGGTATTTTTTAAGCACTAAGTGGATATAGGCTGTATCTTGTATCTCTATGAATGATATCTTGCCAGAGAGTTTATTCAAAGCTGTGTGCTGTGGTATGTGCCATGAAAGCTGCTTATAGCTGTTCCTATATAAGAAGCTGTAAAATGTCTTATATAAAATTTAATGCAATTTGCTATTTTTATATGTGAGGATAATTTGTTTAAAATGGAACAACTGGGAAAGGGTGATGCTTCATGCTTCACTATAGTTGCCAATTAACTAAAATGATTTGAAGCTTGCTATGCTGACTACAAATTTTATATGCTTTAATATAATAATATAATAACTCTAAAAGCAAGAATTAAAATACTACATAGAGTATAAATCTAGCTATAACTTTATTTCACACTGATCAAACCTGGTACTTCTACATTTTTATATAATGTTAAATTTATATTGGTACATAATTACAGCCTTAAAAGTAAATATGAATATGCTGTTAATATTATTTTGTCTGGCAATTCACAGCACAGATTATTAATGTTGAATAAAGTATTCCTTCTTTTTTCCTTCATTGCCAACTTTTTTAACATGAGGTATTTGGAAATGCTGTCCCTGGAAAGCAGCAAATTATTATTATTTGGAAAAAATCACTTTTCATTGTTTTAAATTCTGAAAACCTAAGCTTTCATATGGATTGAAATGCCTTACAAATAAACTTTTTCTCTACGAGCTTCATTTGAGCTCTTTAAACACGTTATAATCATAAGTTTTATCAGGTTTAAAGGTCTAAGTTAATCTTAGTGTTATGAAATATTTTGACATATGAGTATATTGGACTCTATGGTCTATCAAAAATGCTCTGTTATATGAATTACCTTATGTATAGCTTTATAAAAACTAGCAATATTAAGTTCATTTCCCCTTTATTGTAGGAAAGCACTATTGAATTCTGTTTAAGACATTTTAGGCTGAA